AAGGTTGGACATCTGTAACGCTCCAATTGTCTCTGTGAAGGGAAAGGTGGAGGCGGAGCTTCAGCTGGTGGCGTTGGAGCAAGCGGAGGCGAACCCTGTGGGGCGTGGACGCAAAGAGCCAGAACCTCTGGAAAAACCAAAGTAACATGCAGTCACACACAAACATGTCAATAATATAAATACTGCAGTAAATATGGACTTTAAATTGGGAGATCAGGATTGCACAAACTAACAAAGATGAGAATGCTGCCTGACTATTTTCATATTTGAGGATGAGTAGCCATTTTTCAGACTTCCAGAGGGGCTGCAGGTTTTTGAATCAAGAGCTGTTTTTCCTTCTCTTCCAACAAGTAAAGACTGTCTAATAATGCAAAAAACATACTTAAAATCAAGACAGCACTGCCTAAAAAGGTTTTGTGACTAAAGTATTTATTAAAAAAAGCAATTGTTTATGTTGAATTAACACATGAATAATATTTTAGGGTCTAAAGGCAAACTCTTATGAGAAGAAAAAACAACTTCCATTCTAAATCCTATCAGAAATTATTGAACACAATTCAATGGAAGTGCACCCTCTAAAAGATGATCACTAGGTGCTACAACAACAACAACAACAACAACGACAACAACAACAACAACAACAACAACAACAACAACAACAACGTACTGTATAAAACTAGACAGGACAACAGCTAAAAATCTATCATGACTACTCCATACAGACTGATTTTTTTCTGTTTTTTGTTTTTACATTTTAATCATGTGTTCAGAAATATTAAGCTATAAAATCAGGCAGTTTATTTCTCCATTCTTCTTCATAAATGATCTCCAGAACTCTTCAGAAATATTCTGACATAGAATACGTCAGACAAATGCCCTGCTGTGCTCACAGGTATTGTCGACGACGTGATCAGTTTGTATTTCTAACTGACACTGAAGTCTGTCTAGCTTAGTTTGGCTGCCTTGTAAAGACTGAGGCTTCAAAATGAAGAAAATCTGAGTTCCTGGCCTACTAAAATTAGATCAAACCTTGAAACAATGTATTTTAAGTCTTTAACAAATAAAACTTTAACCACCTAAATGGTTTATGCTTAATTGTTTTGAGAAGCCAAGTTAGGGTGCTATTCAGAGTGAAAAAGTGTAATTTGTGTGTCTTCAAATCTGATTTAAAAAAGTACAAAGGCTTGAGAGTCTTGTGTGGTGAAGTCTGAGGTTAGAACATTTTGTCTCTTGCTGATTCACAGTAACGTTGTATCAGGGTTGGTGTTGGCTGACAGGGCTTCCTTCAGCAGTTCAGTTTCAAGCTTTGTAGTTAGAAATTGGATGTTCAAGATTCCCAGTTTTCATACAGTTTTATTCCCTGTGACTCAATAAGTCAGGTAAAACTTGGTAATCATGTTCTTGGTAACATATAAACTTACATGTGAGTTTTATTCTTTTGAAAGTATATCTGTTATCTGTTGAAGTTTTTCTTTGCCTGTCAATAAATGTTTTCTTTTCACTAGTTGTACCATCTTAGGGATTGAGCTGAAACCTGGAAGATTTGTTTCCCGTCATGTAAACTGAACAAAACCCCCGCGTATAAATGCTGCAACAGAAGCTAATGTTTGCATTAATGTTAGATTTTACTGTTTTAGAGGTTGCTGACAAAAGCTTTTTTTTTTTTTTTGTCTTTGCAGCCGTCCTACCACCAGCTTCAACTGGTTCATCAATCCTATGAAGACCTTTGTCTTCCTAATCTGGAAAAACTACAAGAAGTACATAATAGCCTTGGTCATCCTCATCATCCTGACGCTCTTCCTCGTCCTGATTGTTTACACGTTGCCAGGAGAAATCAGTTCCCTCATCGTCAACGGATGAAGAAACCTGCTGGGACTCACCGTTGCGTTGTGCTAAACTCCAAACAGTTTCAGGTTTCATTCTCAGACTGATATATTTAACCACAATACCAACAGAAATTGATCATCAGAAATTTGTTCAGTATCGGCATAATCTGTCACCAGAGCCAATTAGCAATTACTTCAAGTTTTAGGAAAATAAAGTTTTTCTTAAGTAAAATGTGACATATTTCCTCACGAGTTAGTTATGCTGATGTTCTTGTCTATATTTTTAAAAACATATGAGATATATGCTATATTTTGAAATAAATATTTAATTTAATGCACTGATTTACAATTGAAATGATTTCTTTTTTTTTAAAATAAAGATGTTAAATTTGTTTCTTTGAATAAATTAGTAAATATTTATTCATCAACCTCTGTAAGTGACTTGGAAGGTGTAAATTAGACAACTGCTAGTAAAATGATTTATTATCTCAAAGTGACAGGAAGGCATTGATTATTTACTAAAGTACAATGATCAAGAAATTGCACATTATTCAGTTGCATGGGGATATTTAAACACTGATGGAAAATGAATTAATGCTGACCAAAACCAACACTTTCACAAATGATTATAAAACTGTTTTTGTGAGGAAAACGTGGATGTAACATCATCAAAACAGTTAACGTTACTTTTTTTCACAATTAACCTTCATCAAGAATGAGTTCCCGTTCACTACTGACTGTCATTACAGTGATTACAGAATACATCTGATGATCTTCACTGAGTGGGCACTTCACTGTTTATTTTTCACTAAAAGGTCACTCATTACGACAGTGTCCCATTCACGTGGGGCCCAGTATGTTATGTTTTTATTTCATCAAAGGGTAACCAATTCACCATATCAGCATGTTTCAGCATATCAACCTCCAGTTCACTCCATGACAAGGACAACTCAGACTGATGAACCTGGTTTTGTCATCTTTTCATTGTGTTTTTGGAATATTTACAGGAATCTTCAAAAAGGTTTTTCATATTTGATGAAGTGGTGAATGGGCTGCCCTTTGAACTTTTCCACCTTTTTTCATGTTCCAATCATAATCATCGATATATTTTACACAAATTTGATGTGACAAACCAAAACAAAGATAATTTTGATGTGCAATAGAAAATGATACATGTTTATGAAAGCTTTTTTTTAACCAATAAAAGCTGAAAAGTGTGGTTGGCCTCTTTTATTCAGACCACTTAGATTTTTTTAACCATCCTTTTCTACAGTTACAGCTGAAAGCTTTTAGAGGTTTGCCTGTAACGACTTTACAGACTAAATAAAATATTCCAGATTCAGTCAGAGTAGAAGAATAAAATTTGTAAAGAATTTTTTTTTCCATTTAATTTAGCCTTTATTTTACCAGGTTAAAAAACTCATTGAGATTAAAGCCCTCTTTTTCAAGGGAGTCCTGGTCAAGATCTTCATTCTCATGTTTTCTGTCCCCTTGGTAAACTGCAAACAGAACTTTTTGTGACTTCTTCTCTACAGCTGCTTTCTTTCTTTGCATTCTTTTTTAAAAATCGGAGTTTCAGTTCAAGGCTACTCTCTGCTGCTCCCCCAAAGAAATATTTTTCCTCTTCACAAATGCTGGACTAAGCCTGCCTTAGGTTTTTCCATAACTTTATTCCTGACCTATTTTTTGAGTTCATTGGTTTTCTTGCATGTTCACTAATGTTCTCTAATAAACCTGTGAGGCATTTATAAACAGCTGGGTTTGTATTGAGGTTAAATTGCCAACAGCTGGATTTTACTTAACATTGTTATTTATTTCTGAAGGTAATTGGCTGCAGTACATTTTGATTCAGGTCATCATTATGTTTGTAAAACATTTCCTTTCACTTCACAGTTATCCCCTAGTTTGAGTCAATCAATAAAATACTCCCCGATGTAAACAAAACCTGAATTTTTTCAGTTGAAACATAGCAAAATGTGAAAATGTTCAAAGGTAACAATACCTTTGCTTCCCCCTACAGCTTTTTGCTGTCTTTATGCTCCTGGAATGACCCATTTGTTGTCCTCTGCCTCATTAGTTGCTTTCTAAAGGTGAAAAGAACCAAACTTAGAGCAAGACTCTACAGTCAGACTTCGTCCTCGTCCTCTATTGGTGCAACAGGAAGTTACAAATAGTTTGTTTACTGTCCAGATGTTTGCTCTGATTATTTCCTCTGAGACTGGCAACGCTGGTTCAGTGTGAGATTCTCTGGCTCAGACGCTACAAGGGAAATGATGTCAGATGACGAGTATGAAGCGTTTGACAACATTGGTTGGTTACATTTTGTGTTTAAGATCACAAACTGTTTTAGAGGATAACTAAGGGTTGGTGAGTCACCCGGCCTTTAGAAGGAGGCACTCTAATCATGTGAGAACAAACATGAATGTTTCAGTGTGAGGAGAAAGACTAACACTGGCACGTCTCCCTAAATGTCAAATTAACTTCTCAGTCATTAAATTTATTATTATTTTAAAAATGAAGTTCTCCATATAATCTACCATGATGGACATATTGAGAGTACATTGATGATTGTGTGAACTTGCAGGGAATGATCCACTTGAAGTGAAGTGTCAAACTGATTCCCAACAGCTGGTTTTTGTATTAAAGGGTTAATATATAAAAACCCCTAGATTTAATTAATTTTTTTGTTGTTGTTGTTTAGCTGTGATTTATTTTCTTTAAAGTTATATATGGTGTTTACATTTGTCTTGTATACACACTGACTTTGTAATTTTACTGAATTCAGCCACCATATTGATGTTAAATAAGTATTTCTAAAGTGTCTGTTGACCTTCCCTGTTTTTGTCTCATCCCCAATGCCAGATGGTGAAAATCCCTAGATTATAGAATCATCTATAGAGTTACATTTTGTTTTAGAATTTGAGATTCTTGAAGTTTTTTAGTTTTTTGAAACAGAACAATGTTGCAGATGGAATATTAAACGACCAAACCTCTGTCACAAGTGTTTTTAATGGAGACGCTAATGTAGTCACAACATATTGAACACAATAGTTCCTCAAATTGTTCATTTAAAAAAAATATTTGGTTTTGGTTAGAATCCGGCTTTTGGAAAGGTTTTGACTCATTTTCAGAGCACCCTTTAAAAACAAGGGAGCTCTGTAATAACACGAAGCTGCTTTGACTAGGATGGGGGCCTGAAAATCCCAGTTCTCCCAGTGCACCCAATGTAGGGCTCGGTCAGCAGTGCGCGCCACCGCGACAGAGGGCTCCACCGCTGTTCACCGTGAGCGCGCCTCTCCATGCGGGTTCAATAAAGGGAGCAAAAGCGGTGAAAAGAAAATGAGACGCTGCTAAAGAGAAATGACGGCGGGGCTGGACGGGAAAGCTGAGACTGGTTTGATCCCTCTATCGGAACCCGGTCTCTGGGTCCACTTGGTCCGGTTCTCCGCACATCGCCTCCAGGTCTTTGTCAGCCGGTTCGCACACGGACGGCAGAGCGCTTTTGTGATTTTTCCTTTTTCTGAATGAAGACGCTCATCAGATAAAGGCTGTTTTAGCTTTGACCCAGCAGAGAAGCGGCAGTATTAACATTTGAGGGATCCTGTGAAGTTTGTGGTGCTGGGATTTATGCTTTGCGTGGACTGAGTCACCTTTTGTTCGGAGAAAAGAGGCGTTTGATGCAGCGGTTCGGTCACACTGAGGCAGAATAACTGAGCAGGTCCTTGATTACAGCACATCTCCTGTTATCATTTTTGCTTTACACACCCGAGTGAAAAGGGGCGTGTGAACATTCCCCAGCCTAGATATTTAAATCATTACAGATCATTTATTTATTTATCTGTTCATTGACTCTGCGCCCTGCGCCTGGTGCCCACCTTCTTCTGTCAGTCCCGGACTGCGCTCGACTGTCCCGGTTCTGCCCTTTGTGTTCCGGGGTTGACAGGATCACCATGCCGGAGTGCGTGTCGGTGTCGGAGTTCGTGCAGGAGGTTCAGGAGGACTGGAGCTCTCCCACCACCTCCTCCTTCACCTCCAAGATGATCAACTGCAGGAACACCATCTACCTGCTGGAGGAGGTGAGTGCTGAGAGGGAGTGGAGGGGAGAGGGTGGGATGTGGTCGGAGCGGCTTCAGCAGACAGATGTTCATGTTTCTACTGAAACCAACATTTAAAGCTTGCCCAGTATCCACAATGGTCATCCTCCCCAAAGACAAAGAAAAATGTCTTTGATCCACTCCACCATTGGTCGCCCTTAGGTTCTTGCCTAAGGTTAAGTTGTCAACATTTGCATCTTCTAAATTATTTTGTAATGCTGAAACTACAAATCCCTTTGTATTTATTTTCCCTCCTAATTTCTATGCTTGACTCAAAAAAAATAAAAAAAAAAAAAAAAAAATCTGCATTCCTGTTATTCTTATTGCTGCATGGACTGTGGTGACATCATGTAATAACTCAGCAAGGCTCTTATCACAGTGATCAGGACTCGGTCAGTGTTAACATCTGGGATGCTGATAAACATCTGTAAGCTAAATAATAGTCAAGTTCAGTTTATTTCTACATTGCAGTAATATACCAAAATGCCTCATCTCATGGCACTTTGCAACGCAATTTAAATGAAATCTCAATCGCTCCATGTTTAATTCAGATCACGCCAACTCATTTCTATACTACCTTGTCTGAAATGAAAATATCTAATTACATATGGACTATTGAGTCTAATTTTAATACAGTAGCGTCACAGAATCGTTTTCTGTGTTAGCAGCCATCTGGTGCAACAGGGAGTTGAGAGGACAGGAAGAACACAAACTGTGGACCAGAAGTACTTTAAACAGTAAACCAAAACAAAATCAAGGTACACACAGTTAATGGCAGCAACAGCTCTGTCAGTGACTTTGTACTCAAAGGAGACACAGAAGAACCTCAGTAAACTGTAAATAAGATAGAAAACAGAGATAGTGCTTGGCTATTGTCTGCAAATCTCTTTAGTTCTGTCTAGGAAAGAGAAAATCTAAAGACAGAAGCACTGGACCAAATACTTTCATAGAAAGTATTTGGTCCAGTGTAGTACACAAAGTTAATGACAGTGACTCCTTCCAAGAAAGAGACAGCTGATCACTGAAACACTGGACCAGGGGTACCTTTTTCAAGAAAGGAAGCAGAGAGAAAACACAAAACTAATGGAACCCAGACTATTATTAAAGAAAGAAACAAAACTAAACACAAAGTGACTGGGTAATGTATATTTTCTACAAGAATGAAAGTCAAAAAGAGTACAAGAAGTTAATACTGATCTGTCAACAGCTCCATCTAGGAAAGCTAAAGTTTTCACAGGAATGAAAACCAAAGACAATACACAAAGATCATTTCAACAATAGATCTCCTGGCACCTGAAAAGAGACACATCATAACAAAGAATCACTTTCTGTGGGAAATAAAACTAAAATACAGAACATAAAGTCAATAGACAACAATAAAAGCAGAGAGAGAAAATATCAATGCAAGGAAAAGTGGCTGGTATATTCCCCAGCAGCCTACGCCTATAGCAGATCATCAAACAGAATAATGTTGTGAAATGTTCTCTGATATTCTACCAGCTGATTTGCATTCATTCAGCATAGTGAGAGATGAATTTTACAATAAGCACACAAGCTTATTGTTTGACTTGAAAAATAACTGGGGAAGTTTGTTGCAAAATGGTTGACTGTAAAATTTATTAACTGTTTTTCAGCTTTTTAGTTTAAGTTGGCTGATCTCTGGTCTAACAAGAACTAAAATTGTAACTTTTTGTGATTTTTTTTTTTAATCTCATGAGCTTTTATCACACTGCAATCTGTAGGAAAGACTTTATTGATTTAAAATGTAATCAGCTGATAGAGAATTCGATGTGTGTCTGTTTGACCTGATGGAGCTGATCAGTGAGGTGAGACTGAGCCTTTCAGGGAGCAAAGGTTTACCAAACTGAGCTGCTCAACACTGTGGTAGAAGAGTCACTTCATCACAGGTGAGCTATGCGTCACTTACTCTGTTGAGTGAGGCTGTGAATTGATTAAAGCAGTAGAGAAGTGTCAAAATGTCATATTTACCCAAACTGTATAATTACTTTTACAAAACAACCAATCAACTCTTGTTTAATTTTACAATAATCTTGCTATTTCATGTTCTTTGAAGTCAGAAGTAAATTCCAATGTTAACTCTGTCTTAGCTTTCATTCTTCAAGACTTATACTCTATAGAACATAATGTTCGTACTGATAAAGTACATTGTTTAATCAATTTGCCTTTAAATGAAGCCATGTGTGGCCTTTATGTGAGCACCCTCTTTATGTGCCACAAGTAACATTTTCAAAAGCTCACATGACTTTTGGTCAAAATCATAAATTCAGTTTGTATTGCCAAAAATGTGGGTGCATGAATCAGATCATTTCTTGCCTTCAGTGTTCAGTATCTGTCAAATAAAGGGATGATGATGTCAAATGAATGGATGTGTGCTATCCATTCATGTTTTAGTTTTTTTCATTTAGTATTTACATGTGTAAAAAAACAATCACCACTTTCTTTCCAAAAGTTGATTTCGGCAAGAAAGATCTCTTTTGACACAAAATGACTGGGAAATACAAAATACGCTAGGAAGGCGACAATATGCAATCACCTCCAACATATAAAAAAATGGGCTTTAAATAATATTTTGCAAAAACAGACACTGGAATTTCACCTGTGATTTTTAAAAATTGAGGGTTTTTTTGAAGTTGTCAGACAGAAAACAATTTAAAGAAAAAAAAACTCACTGAAAATTACCAAGATTTTTCTAAAGTCCAAAAATATCAATCAATCAATCAATCAATCAATCAATCAATCAATTGAATTTGTACAGCACATTTCAGCAGCAAGGCAGTTCAAAGTGTTTTACGTCATTAAAAACACAAAATTACAACGTTAACAGTTAACAAACATTACATCTTGATGAGTGCCATCACCAAAATCATACACATGAAATATGTTGGTCAATGTCTGATTTATTACGGTTCAAATCAACTCTTAACAAGTTTTTAGTTTTGAATTAAAGAAACTCAGTTTTTAATTGATATATACTACAAATGCTGAAATATTTGATCAATAAAAGTCATTTTATGGTACGACAGTCTTGTCTGTCTAAAACGATCATACATTTTGGACGTCTCATACATCTTAGGCATATTAGACATCTGATGGGAAAAGATATCCATTGCATCTCCAAACATAGCAGAGTAGAAAAGAAAGAAATCTGATAGAAGTAATGAATTTAATGCAACTGAAAAGTAGCACCCCTGCGACAGACTGGCGACCTGTCCAGGGTGTACCCCGCCTCTCGCCCGGAACGTTAGCTGGAGATAGGCACCAGCACCCCTCCCGACCCCACTGAGGGACAAGGGTGTTCAGAAAATGGATGGATGGATGGATGGATGAAAAGTAGCACCAGATTTTTTTGTCTGAGAATATTTTTGGCAGCCGAACGAAATCCCTTCGTTTTTCAGTTCATTTTCTGCCAGTTAACAAATTAACTACTGTGAACAATTTGTGTAACTGGCCCACTGCTGTGTGGGGTCTGTGTATTTGGACGAGGATACGCTTTAAAGCAGCATGCAGCAGAACCCCCGCTTTCCATCCCTCCACAATGGAGTTATTGACCTGGAGAATGGCCTGAAAAACACGCTCACACTGAACCCTCCCCTCGGCCCCCATCATGTACCCCCAGCAGGGCCGACATATGTTACCAAGGCAACAGATTACTGGCCATCATCATTCTTTGTTATTGTTTTTTTTTATGGTTATGAAAAGAAGCCAAAGTGATTAATGTTAATGAAGATGTTAGTTAATCTGCAAGCTGGTGTGGGATAAAGGCAGACTGGAGAGGTGTAAACTACAGCTTTTAATGGGATATTTAGATGCATAAAATCTTGTTTTCCTTTTGTCGCAAGGCAGCACATCTGTTGAAGTATGTAGTCCTGCCAAATTTTGTATGAAAATCAAGGCTTTTTTTTTTTTTTTTATTTTCACTTTAAGCGTGGCGACCAAATCAAATGGAGATTTTCAGGATACAAGGACTTTTATTTTTTTCAGAAAAAATGAATCTGCATGAAGGTAAAACTTAAATTCAAACAGTTAAATTTAGCAAACATTGAAAGTTACAAAACACTAGATTGTAACTGTTCTGGTCATCATCTACTGTATTCACTTAATAAAGTTTATATTTGGACTTACGCTGTTTATTTTCAGTCTAATTCTTGAGTCTAGTGCATAACTATTTTCATATTCTTTTTAGAATTTTGTAAATCATTACAATTATGCCAAAGTAGCCGTATTGTATTTATGTATACCTCTTTGAACCTTTTAATTTTTTTCATGTCACAACAATAAACTTTTAGAAATTTTGAGGGAATAATAAGTGGTGGAAAAACACATCAACTTTTCATATCTGGATATTGATTTTTTTTATCCTACTTTTTGCAAATTAACTCACGTTCAACCAGAATGAATAGAAATAATCTATGAACTTTTCCAGTTTTAGTCTGTATTTACATTAAGCTAGTCTAATTAAATGAATTTGATCTAAGCCATTCCATTGAATGGCTTCATTGTCCTGCCAGAAGGTGAACTCTCCCGTTTGTCATCCTCTAACAAACTTTCACCTTGTATTACACTGTATTGATGTAATTACCTAAATCTATTTTCTTTTTAATTATTACCAATATTTCGGTCACTTCAGAAGGAATAATTCTCACAGCATGATGCTGTTACCATCATGACTGACATTAGAAATGTTGGTGTCTTAAATGTAGACCATAAGAATTCAGTTTTGGTCTCATCACTGACTCACCTTCTACATTTCTTTTGGGAAACTACAAAAAAAAAAAAATGTTCTGGCCTTCTGTAAACAGGCTTTCATTTTGCTTCAATTCGATTATGGCCAACTCTGTGGAGTACACTGTTAATAGCCTTCCTGTCAACATTTTCTTCCACCAGAGCTGTTCATTTCTGCAGCTCCACTGGTTTACAGTGAGCCTCAGGTGGACAGCCATGTATTTTTTTGTGCTTGCAGTTGTGACATTTCTTTTTCCATCTTCAAACCTGACATACTTAACGTTTTAACAACTGACAGTTCTTTTGTCACCAGTCCTTTTGCCCTCCTCCTGACAGTGCTGCTTATTTCTAAAAACACACACTGCACAATGCGAAAGCAAGAACTAGGAAGAAAATAAGAGAAAACACAGCCAAAGACTTTCACAGAACCTTCAGAAGTATTTGACAATTGAAAGTAAAAGATAAAGAAATGAGGAATGTTTTAAACTGGCGTGTCTGGTACAGAAAGATACAAAATAGGCTATAGAAGTAAGCAAAAATAGTTTTGTTTGCTAAATAAATTAAACAATAATTTATGGTTGTTATCAAATGTCACTTGAAATGTTTGTCTTTTCAATAGTTTGTAAAAACCTGAAGCAGAATTGCCAATAATTTTCGATAATTGCTTGTGATACAACACAAATTTTGCAGGACATGATGAAATAAAACAAAGCCTCAGTTTAAAACAGCCACATCCAAACTGAGCTGCTGCTTCATGCAGTGAATTTTGACCAATCAAATGATGGTTTACAGCCATAAGAAAGCAGGTGTCTATTGTCCAGCAACAAAGCCTGCTGCCCCCATGCACATGCAGACCCAGTCATGCAGAAAGCAACTACACCCACTTATCATTCATGCTTGTGCTTGTCCAGGCTCTGGACAGCGACCGGATGGTGTTGCAGAAGATGAAGAAAGCGGCAAAAGCCAAGTATGCTTCAGGGCAAGGTACACAAATCCACATTCAGACAAACACAGATTACATTTAGATTATTCCCCAAACTAACTCAACTTCTTTTTTTTTATTTGTTAGATCATGTATCTCACCTGGAGCAGTACATCAACTCGATGGAGAAGCTCGCAGTAAACTGTCACTCAAATGGAGAGACGGAGGTCGGCTCGGCCTTCTGCCGCCTGGCGGACTTTTCCAAAGAACTTCTGTCTCCAATGAAAAATCTGGTAAGCGAGAACATCAGATAAACAACTAGGAGGTCAGGAGCCACATCAACTATTCCTGGACTAAAAATGGTTTTATTCCCTTGACTGTGATCTTCAACTTCTCCGTTATGATCAGAATGAGAAAGTATTTTATTGCCAAGCATGTGAGCACACGCTGGAAACTCGTTTTGATCACTGAAGTTTCAGGACTTACACAAATCCCATTGGATAAATATGGACACAAATTACAAACAATTAAAACTCCAAAAGAAAATGCAGTGCATTCTGACACTATAAAAGCCTGATCTATAGGATATTTGAAATATGTCATAGTTGTCACTTTTGGAAATTGGTAAAATTATATATAATTTAATTAAATATATAATTAATGTTTGGCAATGTTGTTATTTACAAGGTGGTATATACAGAGATGTTGAACAACAGAGAATAGTACAGTACAACAAGTGCCTGAACTGAACAATAAGACTGAGAAACAACATCCAAGTTGAGATTGTAATTTACTTGTTAGGACTTGCATGTTGTTTAAAGGTCTATGAGGTAGATGGACTGTGTGAGAGAAGCTGTTTTTATTCTGTGCTGCTGTGGTTTGCATCACTCTGAGGCACTAGCCTGAAGGCAGCAGCTTACACAGTCCATATTCTGACTGTGAGGAGCCAGAGGGAGTTTATTTATTTTTTTGATTTTGCCTTCTTTTTGTCTGTGAAAAACACAAATCCTGAATGGGGGTCTGTGAGGCATGAATAAATCTCTTACTGTTGCAGCAGCCTTATGTCAGGGTTAGTGGCTGAAAACAGTGAATTATAAAAGTTTGCTAAGCAGACTCTGACAGCTGATTAGAACTGCAACAGGATCTTCCGAGCCAAGGAAAATCTCCTTGGCTCCCTTTTCACAAATGGGTTTATTTGTGATATTATTTATTTCAGCTCTGGTATGATGTGGTTCTCTGAAACCTAAGATGTTACAGCTTAAAAACATGCAGCTTTTGTAATCTGTAATTCTTGACCAAACTTGAAATGTCAGAATAAAATGTTCAATCTTTTCTCCACTGGAATCCAACATATATAACATGAAATCACAATTAGTTATTGTGAACCCAGATGATCAATAGTTGTAAATGATAACCTCTAAAAATACACATAAAAGTTGAGAAAAAAAAACTATTTACTGCCTAATTCAGCATCTGTATGAATGGTTCTATGTTTTATGGACATGAGCCCATTACACTTATGATTGGAACAAGAATTTTTGTAAAAGGTAGCATTTGCAAACTGCTGATCAGAGCAAAATGTGCTTATTTTGCTGTGTGAGTTATTATGAAATGTTATGCAGGGTCCTAATGTCTCTTCAAGAGTTACAATGCAACCCTAAAAAATGCCAAACGCCCTAGAGAAGACAAATAGCATCATACTCAGCTCCCCGAAGCCATCTGCAAGACGAAAGTCTAAATGCAGGGTGGAAAAGTACTCTATTTAATTTATGTACATATATTACATATATCGCATACCTGCCTGATGACATCTTTTTCATTTATTGCATCAGTAGTAATTAATTGCACGATAGCATTGCTAATGCATCAACTTACATTTGCTTTTTCCAGTGTAGATACTGTATATGATTATAGATCCTGAGGTTTAAGCTATAATACTGTATAATACTGTATATGTCAGAGGATGTATTTTTCTGTTAAACTACCTAAGCAAACTTTAGTGCAGAAAAACATCAGCTAAGTCTTATATTTAACAGACCACCAGCATGTTTCTGTCTCAAAAGACTAAATATCTGCTCAGATATAAGACCTTCATTCCAAACTGAAGCATTTTTCCTCCATTGCTCCTGGCTTTCCTGAAATGCCTGGCTGGTTGTTCTTTCTGGCTTTTTCCTCCTTTGATTTCACAATGAAACTCATTTGCATAACATCCGGCAAGTGACAAGTGTGGCACACTTCAAACAGAAAAAAATGCAGCTGCTTCCACCTTTTTCCCCCTACATTAGCTGACCAGTTGGGGCAAAGCACGTTTTTGCAAGAGAGAGGATGTTAAAGAGGGAAAAAACTAGGAAGCAACATAAAATTATGAAGAAAATCTCTTTTTTTTAACATTACTGCATGTCAATATGATGTAGCTGTTTTAATCAGATAAAAAACCAACATACACATTTTCAAAACTTTGATTATAGAATCTGAAAACCCAATACACTGTTTAGCAGTTTAAGTGTTCATGTGCTTGTGTCTATTTATTTATTTGTGTGTGTGTTCAGCTGAAGAGCATGCTCCACAACATCAACTTCTTCCTGGACTCGTTGGTTAAAGGAGACCTGCGGGAGGTGAAAGGGGTGAGGACTTTTGATGTTCTCATGTAAAGTGTATGTTATGAATAAGTTAAGCCATGAGTAATCTGAAATGGTGAAATGAACAGAGATTATTTGTGTAAATCTGAAGTAAACTTTTCCTCCTCTGTACCGCTGCAGGATCTGAAGAAACCATTTGAGAGAGCATGGCGGGATTATGAGAGCAGATTGTGAGCGACAATCCTTTTAAAGCATCTGAGAGAGTTTACATGCTCTCTTGCATCTCCTATTTTTAGGATACCCTTCTTACGTGTTTGTGCATGTAAAAAAAATAAATTACACCTCTGCATAATTCAGGAACACGGAAAGGCTCTTGTAAGCAGAAGTGAGCTGGTAAAACTGTCAGGAGTCGGATTAATAATTCAAAGCGGGCGTGTGTGTTCAGCAAGCAGGTGGAGAAGGAGAAAAGGGAGTTAGCGCGACAGTACGGGATGGTTCGGAGCGAGGTGAGCGGAGGAGAAATCGCTGAGGAGCTTGAGAAGGAGAGGCGCTCCTTCCAGCTGAGCATGTGTGAGGTCAGTGACCCCAGCTTTTTAAAACCAGTCTACTTCTGCTAACTCCCCTTGCTGCTCAGCACTTTACATCACCCCACTACATTTATGTCCAGTTAATAGACCAACTCTCTATCTCAGTATCTCATTAAGGTGAACGAAATAAAAACAAAGAGAGGAGTCGACCTGCTGCAGAACCTCATTAAGCACTACCACAGTCAAAACAAGTAGGTTCTGGCTCACACACACACTCAGACAACATAAAGCATCATACAATACAGTGACAAAGATGGATTTACCGTAAATGTCTTTGTGTAGTTTCTTGCAGGAGTGTGTATCCACCACTCAGAGGCTGAAGCAGTACATGGAGGAGCTGAACGTAGTGCTGAACATGGTATGAATGTTGGCAGAAGCCTACAACGGCGTATTAGGGCTGTTAAAGATAGAAAATAGAGGCGGAAATTTGAATATGATCAAATTCAGAAAATTTTAGATTAATCTAAAAAAGTTTCTAGAAGAAAACAAAAAGTTTGTTTTTTTTGTTTTCCCACCACATTTCTGACTTTTAAGTCTCAGAAGTTTTCATGTTTATTTTCTAGAAAATGTCTGTAATTAATCCAAAAATGTACTCCTTTTCTTCTACGAAGGCCGTATTATGCCATAGGAGCCTGTAGCATTGTGTTTTTATGTGTGTGTGCTCATTGTGTATGTTGTTCTTTTCCTTAATGAAAGCTTCAAGCAAAAGTTTCGATTGTTTTCAACCAATTCTAAAACCATATTAGTATTATTTTTCTTGTGTCGAAGCAATGTGGCCAATTGATTTAACCTTTTACCACCTGGATTGAAACACTGAATCATTAAATTTATAGTTGTTTTGGGAAAAACTGTCAGAAATAAAAGTTTAATTGTCACAAGAAAAAGTATATATTTAGTCCATTTGTAGATTTAATGTTCAGGAAGATCTCAGTGGCGTGAGGCATTCCCACAGTCTTCTGCCAGCAAACGATGCTTCCAGTTAAGAGTGGGTAAAAGATCTACAGTAAAGTTCAAATTCCTGCAAAGTTATTTAGCTCCACAAAAGTAATATGAGAAAATATTTGCTGATTCATAACATTGTTTTCTGTTGCAGTCAATGTGCAGGACTTCTCTGCAGCAATGCACCCCTGTACAGTCTGGGTTTAAAACTTTGCAGCTAAACCCTTTATGTTAAATTGCATGTCTTCATTAACTTTTTACAATATGAGACTTGTTATTCTTGACTAAGAATTGTCACTTATTTTTTCTTGTTTAGTTTTTATTTATGTACTTCTCTGTGTTTTTTTGTTCGTAAACTTGTCTTCAGTTTGATATTTCATTTCATTTTCTGTCTCAGAAGGATATTTATATGGAATATTATATTTATATGGTGTTGTTAGTGAAAATTCTGAACTGTGACGTGGCGTTGGTGTGCACAGGTGAAGCAGCGTCAGGAGGAGGAGAAGAAGCAGCTGTGCACCATCAGGGATCAGCTGAGGCCAGTTGTCCACACAGAGCAGGTCTGAGACTCCAACCCTAACAATGACTCACACTGAGCTACAGACCATCTGATTCAGAAATGGTTTGTTTGTGTCTGCAGGACTCTTTACCTAAGCAGGTGTACAGCATGCATCAACTTCTGGGAGATAAACAGTACGGAACAGAGAGAACAGGATTCCTCTACAAGAAGAGCGACGGGTAAAAAAAAAACCCCACAAACATTACAAGCTTGTTTATGTTTAATTTAGGAGTTATGTAAGAGGACATATTTAATTAAAAAACCAAAGGACCAAATTTATAATTTAGATACTTTTGTGCTTATCATAACATATGACAAAGTGATGAAAAATGGATTCTCATCAAGTACAATATAAACAGAAATAACTTAACTTGTCCTCGTCAACAGTGAATGGCTTTACATGATCTAGAGAGGTAATAATTCATTACACCCTTATGTGCAATGAAATGCTATTTTTTGTGCAAACTTTTCATGTGGACAATTCTTGATTTCTTTGAGTCTGAAAAGTTATATGTCTCTAACAATGTGCATGGTTTGGATTAGTGATTAAATATTCTGGGCTATATGATGTATTTGACACCTACATTATGGCTGTTCCCTCTTTACAACTACTCATGAAATTGGCTAAATAACCTCAGTTCAAGGCTCAGATGGATAAAAGTGATAGGTCATTTTCAAAGCCTGAACTGGTCCTTTCATAATAACACACAGACCACATCTGATAGAGACTTCACTTTAGTGAATTGCATGAAATTCAGTCAGATGAGGTAACGTCAGTTGTTGGGAAAATTAGTGAAAGCAAAAGTGTGTGTTGTCTCCATCTGGCACAAGATTAAAACTGGAAAACTATTTACATAACCTGGAATGTTTTGCAGAAACTGATTTGTGTCAAAAATTTTATATAACCTTGTTTTTTAGTGATAATACATGTCTACAAAACCTATGTTCACTCAAACCCTTAAACTCTTGAAAAACAGGAAAGAGTATGCCCGTGTTATTTGCTTTGCTAAAATATTGTGTTTGTGTTGCAGGTTGAGAAAAATGTGGCAGAAGAGGAAATGTTCAGTTCACAACTGTTACCTGACTATTGCACATGCTACAGTGAGTGTGTGTTACTGCAAGTTACTGCATCCTCAGACTTTTAACATCTAATTTGTCATAATTAAGATTTCTTTGTTGATACTGTGATTTCACTACTTAAAAAATAGATTGTTTTAATAAATATTACTAAGTATTTCTGGATTTCAAGGTAATTATATTTCCTCTTTAGCAGAAAAGTCCTAATTCCTTTTAAGGAGCGTATTTGGGAATCAATCAGATTAAAATACCCACATTGTTCGCCGAAAAGATATTCAACCAAAGCTACTCTTGTTAGTGTAGAGCCTTTAATTATTTCACTTCAGTTAATGGTTAAGTGTGAATTAATTATTGTTAATTTTTTGAGCCACTAATGAAAATTGAAATATAATAAATAATTACCTCTATTATATAACTTCTAATGTGGTGCTGTATCCCATCACTTTTAATGTTTTTGCTTTAGTTTTTTTTAAATTCAGCTGTAGAAAACTTGCAGGGTTTAAGCATTTGCATCTTGTCAGCTCTTTTTTCTGTCTTTCAGCCAAATAAACCTCCGACCCGACTAAACCTGCTCACCTGTCAAGTGAAACCCAGCGTGGAGGACAAGAAATGCTTCGACCTTATCTCCCGTAAGACACGTCGAAAAGGGAACTTAGCATAAAGTGAAAACTGTTCTGCAGTCCAGACTCGAGTTGAATGGTTTTGTGTTAAATCTGTTAATTCATTTCCAGTCGTTTAAATCTTGACTAGATTTAAGTGACTAATTTTACGTACATTTATCGTTAAATATTAGAAATATAGTTAGAAACGTAATGAATAAGCATATCTGTATGAATATTAAGTGAAATTGAATGGATATTAAAAGTACATGAATATTTACATTTAAATGACAGTAAAAAACAATTTGGTATATTTATTACATACTTGATTAAAAATGTTTTTCAACTCTGTCCTTTAGATAATCGGACCTATCATTTCCTGGCTGAGGATGAAGCTGAGTGTGTTGCGTAAGTCTTTTTTTTTTATTATTTGCAACAACAAACAAGGACAAAACTTTATTTAAGCATTATTTTTTTAGTTTGATTCTTCTCATCTGTTATTAATTTGGACATTTTTTGTCTAAAATCAACAATTGTTCATTTTTTTTGAAATGCTCAGCATGGCTGAAAGTGAGTCAATGAAACAAAGCAGAACCTGGTATTTATTTGCATAAAAGATTTAAAATTCTACTGTCTGGGGTTTAATATGTATACCTTAATTTTTAAAATTAAAAACATATTACAGGATGCAATGTTAATCTTGGGTGTTTTCTTTTGTATGTAGCACTCTAACTGCAGAAATCTACATCAGAATGATCTAAATAGTTATAACGTTTTGTCTGAAGAGGAGAACTGTCTTTGTTTTTGTTGTGAATGTTTAGATGGATCTCGGTGCTCAGTAACAGTAAGCAGGAGGCTCTCAGCATGGCCCTGGACGGGGGCAGGCGCGGAGGCGGAGGGGGTGAAAACAGTGTGGAGGATCTGACCCGGGCCATCACTGATGACATCCGCAGAATGCCGGGAAACAACTACTGCTGTGACTGTGGCGCTCCAGGTAATCTCTGTCTGCCAATAAGCATGTCTTATTTGACTCTTATTCATTTCATTTCAAGTGTAAAAGTCACATTTCTCCCTCTCTGAAGATCCTGGATGGGTCTCAACAAATCTAGGCATCCTGACCTGTATCGAATGTTCAGGGATCCACAGGGAGATGGGCGTCCACGTGTCCAGGATCAAGTCTCTGAGCTTGGACAGCCTGGGAACCTCAGACCTGCTAGTAAGGAACATCTCTATACTGCATTGATCCTCTAGTTACCTTTGTGGGTCTGTAGGTTATGTTTTTGGCCCAAGTTGACATATGCAACTCGGTGCTGAAATCAATATATGCTGACAAAGTCCAAAGAAGTTTAATGTATTCATATTTTTCCTTGGTTAACTGTCCGTCAGTGAAACCAACCAATGACCCAGCCTTCTATTAAACAGGGCAGTTTGTGGTTGAACCTTGGGTAAATCCTACATCGTGTTTTTGATGTTTGTAACTGAAATGTATTGTTTCTTGTTCGATGAGCATAAAATGATATAAACTAATGTTCTCTGTTGTTTATTTCAGCTGGCCCGAAATGTTGGAAACTCTGGCTTTAATGACATATTGGAGGCGAATCTGCTTAGTCCGTCACAGAAGCCCTCCCAGCACAGCCATATGTAAGTTTCACCCACTATTGTCCATTATTGGAGAAAATACACATTTGAAACATTGTGTGCCTATGACAGGGGGGAGCGCAAAGATTTCATATTGTCAAAGTATCAGGATGTTCATTTTGTGAGGAGGTTCAGCAGTTCTTCTGCAGCGCTGCGACTGGGCCTGCAGGAGGCAACCAAGAGCTGTGACATCTACAGCCTGATCCAGCTGTATGCTCAGAGGGCGGAGCTAAGCCAGCCCCTGCACACCCACATACAGGTAACCACACATTGATGATCTACTTCAATCATGCTTACAGGTAAAAAACGAATACCAGTAGTACGTAGTATGTTGGTGGTGTGAACCAGGCTTTTTTGAGAGAATAGTTCTCCAGACTTTTATAATATCTTTCAAAATCTTTCTTGAACTTCGGCTTTGCCACTTCTTTTTGTCTTGTTCACACACCTACACAAAGCTTAAGAAATTAACAAGTGTCAACATCTATTTAGCTGAACCCAGCCAGAGACAACAATGCAGCTTCCTCCACTTGTGTTCCTCCATGTAAACGTGTAAAAAAAATAAATTAAAAAACCCTCTGAAATACTTGCAGTAGAAATAAGTTTAAAAATTCAAACCTCTGAGAACATTAATTCAGTGAGAAAATTTCACAAGTTCTTCGCAAAAAAAAAATGTTTCCGCACGTTTTCACAGGTTGGCACCACTGATGTTAAATCTTTGAGTGCTGATGGAACAGAACCTCCTGTTGGGATTTTTGACCATTCCTCTTTGCACAATCTTCACCCAGAGTCTTGTTTTTTTTCTTATGCACTCTTCTCTTCAATTCTCCTCACCGGTTTATGATTTTGATGAAAGACATAATAACAACTCATTATCAGTTTTCTACCCAGATTTTTCAAAGAGTTAATAAAACGATGCATTCTATGAAGGTTCTAGTTGATTTTGGAAGAAAAATAAGGCGACAGCATCACAGTTGATTTTTGTGGTTTTATTTGTTTTACTCATTTGTGATTGTAGATTTTCTTTCAGGTGTTCCTCCCAAATAATCTTTAGGCATGTAGATAGCATTTAATTGTTGTTTTAGATAGCAAACAACAGCTGTCTAATTAATAAAAAAAAATATATAGACATTAAAGGATGGTTGGAATTAAGGTTAGGGTGAGGATTGGAAGAAGGGTTGGAATTATTTTCATTTACTTCCAACCCTAATTCACACTCATTGTGTGAATACCTTGTAGTATTCACACAATGCTACAAGGCATTGAATGAATTCTTTGTGTGTGAATTATTTGTGGCATGATCTTTTGCCTCTTAGTTTTGAAGAACTAAGAGATTACATGCCATAAATGTCAAAAAATGTTTTCTAAAGTTCCTAGATACTCTTATTAACTGAAAAGCCTGAAAAAAATAGCAATAACTGGGGATTTTATAACAAAAAAAAAACTTTATTTCTGAAATTTTCCTAAGATGTCAATAAAAAGGTTTGGTATGTTTCCACACCAACAGGAGAAAGGGGAGACGGCTCTGCATTTAGCCGTCCTGTTTGCTGACAGGACGTCGCTGCACATCCTGGACTTTCTGGCCCAGAACTGGTCAGTCTGCTGTGATGATGCTGTGTAGTTGTTATGCCTCAGAGTGGTAAGGTTCACACCTGCATGTTTACTTGCATAGGTTTTCTCTTTTTTCCAGTTCCAATGTGGACGTACAAACCTCAGCAGGAAACACTGCGCTGCACTACAGCTGCCTGCATAACAAGAGTGACTGTGTGAAGCTGCTGCTGAGAGCCCGAGCCAACATACACATCAGTAACGCAAATACGCTCCCATAGTGTTATAATGTGTAGTTTATTTTGCACATTGTTTCATTAAAACAAATTTGGAAAAGTATTTTCTTTATTAAATATTAATACATTATCAGAAACTAGACAGGGATTCAATTTACAGATTACTACTAGTATAAGCTTTAGAATAATTTTGTTTTCTAAACCTCCTGTAAAATAACTGCATTCTTTGTCTAACCCAAATAATCACCGCTACGTAACAACATAATTTTTCTGTGTCGCAGAGAATGAGTTGGGAGAAACTGCTCTGGATGTGAGCCGCCGACTGAAGCACAGTGAATGTGAGGCGCTGGTGAGGTCCTCAATCTGATTCTGGATTACTTTATTTATTTTAATCAAATTACAAATTGTGTTGTATTCTTTGAACTTCTTGTAGTTATTGGAAGCCCTCACCAGCTAAGTAAAACAATTTGAGACCAAAGTGATCAGAAATTTCAGTAACTGCAATCATGAATAAGTAAAATCAAATAATGTCCAATCAGCCAAGGTAATGAAAAATAAAAAATATATATATTTTCATTTCATTTTGAGAGGCCAAGCAGCGTTCTTCATTCTGACAAGATGGCTTCCTTTTCTCCTACTAAATGACTGAACTTTGATTGCAGCTGCAGCAGGCCCAGTCCAACCAGTTTAACCATCACGTCCATGTGGAGTATGAGTGGAGGCTTCGTCACGATGATCTGTACGACAGTGATGACGACTTTGATGACAGGGTAACAATGACAACGCCGTGGCTGCTTAACTCAGCAATAGTTCTTATTTAGTTTTTTATTTTTATTTTTCTGATTTTGCCATTAAAGAGTTGAAAATAGAGATTTAAATTACTTATAAATGACCAGATTATATTCTTAAAAAATCTCTTTCTGATCTTTGCAGCTTGTGGATGATGGTAGAAACTGTTACTTTATTTTGGTTGCGTCCAATGACTTTATTTTCTCTCTTGTTTCAGAATGGTCCAGTGAAGAAGGAGCACTCCTCGTCTTCATCATCCTCAGTCTTCACCCCATCGTTCTCCTTCTCCTCCCGGCCTTTCAACTTCAGCCAGTCCTCCACCTCCACCTCCTCCTCCGTCTCCGTTGCCGCCCCGTCCTCCGGAGGACCAGGAGCCGGCCTCCTCAGCGTGGGGAGGAGGCTGGCCATGGCCATGGACCTGCACAGCCGACCAACTGGCTCCGCCCCCAGCCCTCCACCTCCGCCTCCGTCCTCCCCTGCTCCTCCACTGCCGCCCCGGGTCAAAGGTCAGCTCATTTGTTTGGAATTGTTTTGGTGATATCTTTGAAAACACAATAAGATGTTTTTGAGCTATGCTTTTATTTCATTCCTAGCTGTTTATGTGTTTCTTTTTAATATCAGATATTTGAAGATACAAATATTTAAATGCTTCTACTGTCTGATTACACTTGGAAACAGCCGGAGCTGTTACACACTGATTTATGTCTATATTTCCCTTGCATTATTCCCATAATTACTCATCTGAAAAATATGACTGCTGTTTCTATTCCCTAATTAACTGAATATGCACTCTTCATGCTGAGCTTTCAGTGGAGAATGGCTTCGGAAATGACTTGCACAAAAATGTTATTTCTGCTGTAACTCAAGGTTGCAGGTCTATTATTTTGAGATGACAATGCCTGTATTGTTGTCAAAAGTCATTCATTGTTGTGGTTAATTATCATCCTATTAAACAAAAACAAAAGACAGTCTTTCTGCTTATCAGATGTCGACACGAAGCGATTGCATCTGAGGAGCTCTGGCAACTAATTTCATCTCAGTGAAATTTCAGCATATAAAGCCGAAGCTTTTCTGGTTGAATCATGAGTATCTTTTTATCTCGCAGCCCCTTGTGTTCCCCCTCCTCCGCCTCCGGCTGGGGGTGATGGAGTGAGGGATGAAGAGGAGGAAGAGGCAGAGGTTTTCTTCCCCACGTCAGGAAACAGAAAGACAACACCTCCCCCTCCCATCGCTGCCCGGCACAAGAGGACCTGCTCTGAGTCTAATAAGCAGGGTAATATCTGAGAGGCACCCCGCAGTTAGTCTGTCAGAGTAACACTGTCATTAACTCTGTATGTCTGTGTGTTTACGTGTGTGTGCACAGATCACGGGTTGCCAACCAGTCCCAGGATTTACAGTGGCCCAGACTCCTCCTTCAAGAAGTGTGTGTGAGTATCTGAGATATAATTATACTGTATTTTAACACAAACTGGATGAGATTTTTATGTCTACTCACAAAACATTAGGAATATTTGGCTCTCAGGTGAAATTCATGGAAATTGTTCAAAATCAAAGCATGTTTTGGTGACTTCTTAATGTTAAGCAATGTTTGGCATCAAAAGCAAACAACTGAAATTTAACTCCAAAGCTGAACAGCACATAATTAGTGAGTCGGGTGTCAAAAAACATAGTAATTTGATCTTAATTCTGTTTAAGTAGTAATTATACATAAAAAAATAATCATATATTTAACTGACACTAAGACAAAACATAAGAGAGCAGCAACGAGCTGTTCTATATGAAGCATTATGCTGCCCTCTATTGGTCACAAGGATAATAACCAGATAAATTCTCTCTCTGTGACTCCAGTCCATCTTCTCCTCTCAGCTCGCTGACGGAACGACCGGACAGAGGTACGTGTTCTGCTCAGAAACATCCACTCACTCTTTATTTATGCCTGGTCTACCTGTCTTATGCAAATGTTACAATTTTTGAATGAATTCAATTTTAAACTAAAACTATTCTTCCACATTGAGATAGATGCTGCAATATCTGCTCCAGCTCTCACTGACATCGTTACTCTGATGCCTACAGTTGTGTGAATCTTACAGATTCAGACAGTTTTGCTCATGAGGGAAAAGCAATGCCAAAGTAATGTTGTCGCTGTGCTCCTCACGTCTCCTGGACCTAAAATACAGTTTCAAAAATAATGCTTCTCTAGAAAGAATGGATTGTGGTGAAATTAGAAAGTCTGTTATCTCCTTTACTTTTAGCTGTGACTTATAAATGCAAAAGTAGTCACATATGCAGAGACAAATCTGCCCTCGTCAACTGTTTACTTTCACAGTTTTTCTGTATTTGCCTGAAAGGTTTTCTATATTTTCATATTATCACAGGTGAAGTTATACGTCAGTGAATGCATCTAAACTTTAAAATTAGTGGCATAGAGATAAAAATCTGTTTTAAAGCTGGAAACATCAGCTTAGAGAATATTCCTCCACAAAAATAGGGTTGTACCTTTCTCCTTGAATCCTTGGCAAGGCTGATGTGAACATGCAAACACACGATGAGTCACTCAGAATTCCTCCTCTTTATTTCACAATGTAAGTATGTAAATAAAGTTTTCCCAATCTTTTTGATGATGAACTGAACACCAAGTTGTGATTGCCACCTGCAAAAGAGCGCCAGATGTTTATATATATATATAGTATAATAAAAACACAACCTCTTTAAGGCAACTAGACATTCTTAAATGAATTTCTCTTTGAGGTTTTCGACGGACAGAAAGTGAAGGTAGCACCTCACATTTCCTGTACCCGGCCAGCAAAGCGCCTCCGAATGGATCTCCAATCAGCCAGCGCTCTCAGAGCTTCGAGAGCGACGGCAGAGGCCCCACCCCTCAGCCGCTTCCTCGCAGATCACTGGTGAGATCTGGTTGTTTGATGGAACCGTTTTAAATTGTTACTACGTTCAAACCTCTGTTTAAGAGCCTGATTCATTTTGTTGCTGACTGTTTGTCTAATAAGAGTAATATTTTGTCAATCAGCCTCGTGGAGCAGCCAGTCGGCGGGCTCAGGCTCTGTATGACTGCCAAGCAGACCACCATGATGAACTGAGTTTCTCTGAGGGTCAGGTGTTGGTGGTTCTTGGGCAGGAGGACAGCGATTGGTGGGTGAGTATCGGCATTCTTTATTTTTTCTGATTGGCTAAAACTGATGTGAGAAATTATCATGAATTCTCGTTACAATAATTTTTTTTTTTTTTTTTTTTAAAGATGTATTCTTACTTGCAGTAAATGTCTTCATTCTGTGTGTTTTGTATAGCATGGCTATATAGAAGATGAACCAGACCAGAGAGGTTTGTTTCCAGCCTCCTTCGTCCAGCTGCTGTCCGATTGATGTAAACCCGCTCCAGATCCTCAGGCCAGCGCAGATCCGGATCACATCACTTCTTCTGGAAACCGAACTGGGCTCTCATAGGAAGCAGGCCAGATGGTAAAACCTAACATTTACTGGATCAAGTCAGACTTTTGGATCAGATGTCTGGCATCCTGCAAGTTCTTGAGATCTTGGTCCAGCAAACCATAACAACCTCAGGTTTGGATTTACAATGAGCACATAATGGACGGCTCAGGACAGAAAACTTTACTCGTGTGACTGAAGTCAGGGAGTGTTGCCAAGCTGGACAATCAGCTGTGACTCATGACTTATAGGACATTTATTTATTATTCTAACAAGCACACATTTGACAGAAAGTTAGACCAAGTGACAACCACCCAGGGGGCTTTTATTTTGAGACTCGGATGAACTGCTTTCTTCATTTTTAAGTGACATTTAAATTAATTACTTTTGTTGCATTTTTGTGGCGGTACTTGCAGGACACCAGCAAAAGCTGCCACAATTTAAACTCCTTTCCAAGGACTCCTGGATACTGAAGACCAAAGCTCTAAATTCAGTAGAAACCAGTCATCAACACAGAAATAGAAACTCAGCTTCCTTTATTTACAGGTTTGGTAAAAGACTGAAGAGAAGAAGAAGGTTGAATGAGAAGCACTCTATGCCTTCGGCTGCCTTTGTGTCCTATTATACCAACACTTCACTGAGCAGAAACTGTGGCGAGCCGCTGCCACTTAACTCAGTGTTTAGGTGAAACAATGTAATTATTTTTCTTTAAAGAACGAGGAAACTATTTTTCCCCATAGACACGTGATGAGTTGTGGAACCAAGATGTTGAAAGAAGCACCACTGGATAATGAGAGGATTGATTTTTCAATTAAAGTTATTTTTAATAAAAAAAAAAAAAAGCTTACAAAGACCAACCCTCGGTTGAAATGTACTTTAAAGGTTACTGTGTTTTTATATATATATATATATATATAAAATGAGAAATTGTTGGTGTTTAACAGCACACACAAGTGAATGTTTCAATGTTTTATTTATTTTTAATGACTCTTCCTGTAGCTTGTTTAGACATGTTTATAGTATAAAAAAATGTTGGCATCTTTTCTCCATTCTCTTAGAAATATTTATTTTGTTAAACAAAAATTACCTATAGAAAACTATCGCCAGTTCAATGTCAAGTAAAAATTCAACCATAGAATGACTCAAGTGTAAAAAAAGAACAAATAAATTTTTCTGTGTAGTTTGGCCTGCATAGATTAACTCAGAACATGCTTATCAACATGGTCTGCTCATACAAAATTTAACATCTAAAACATTTAGATATGCTTTAAAAAGGGAGCTTTACAGTGTAACATTTAAACTAATTTCACAGGGATCCTTGTCAAGATGTTAATGAACTATGTATAATCTGTACATTCATCACCCTCCACACTCACAGGCGCTCCTGCTGTTAAAATTTTGTACAACTCCCTGTACCAGTAAGACGGCACCGACTCACCTGTAACATTTACAAGGTTGGACCATACAGGCAGAAGGACCTTTGACCCTTTTCAGTAGGATTTAATATCCTGTTCCAGTTTTCCAGCAGTCCTCATTTATATTTAACGTGTTAAAGTTTAAGAGTTAATGATCCCGTATACCATAACAGCATCCTGCTCCTTGACAGCTCACAGAACCACAGTTCCGCCTCCAACTTGCTAATTTTATGCTTTTATTGGGCCAATCATCCTAGAGGTCACATTGACATTCAACTCACAGTGTTTACTTTTCCCCATAGAAAGTGAGTGTTGTTGTGCAAGGGCTTAATACCTGGATTTACCCAATCCATCTATGAGGTGCTTTTCCACGTATTATCTGCTTAGCAGATAAATCTTAGTCCAGCTGAAGTACATGATTTCAGTAAAAACTTAACATTTAGAGTAGACGTTTGCATGTGTTATGGTCAGACAGAAAAGCCTCTTTCCCTGCTATGCTTCCAAAACAACCAGTTGGCACACAGATAGCATCTAATGCCAGGATGATACAATTTGCTCCTGCTTTCCAACAGTAAGCACTGGAAATTGTCTTATCTTCCTTTCTCAACTGATGATTTTGTAAAGAATGATATATGGTATTTTGCCCACTTAATAAATGTACTCAAAACTCTTGGATTTTGCTCTTTATTTCCTAGTATGACTACTGCTATAAAATATGGTTTTATTTTCACATTAATACCAGTGGAACCAATAAGCACTGGACGCAGCAATCGGTCCTGAAATGCTTGATAAAATGTTGAGACATCTTGCATAGCAATAGTGTGAATTAAAAATATACTTTATGATCTCCTTTTGATTATTAAAGAAAAGAACTGTTACACTTCACTGTATTTGTACTTCTTCACCAGGAATAAACTTTTTAAACTGGTTTGTTTACATTAGTTTACCAGTTTTAAGTTAAAGTCTTATTAAAGTTGAAGCTTAAATGTTCAACCATGAATGTAATTTACCAAAAAAAAAAATTATTAGGTTCTTACAAGTTCTATTAATTCAGCATGTAACATTATTTTAGAACATTTTGAGAATATTTTGATAGACATTCAAATATAATGGTGTAAAACACACCGTAAACACAGCAACAAAACTATCTAAAAGAACAAAACCAATTTTATTTTGGTTCCATTTGTTTTTATTTAAATCAAAGTGAAGGTGGGTACATGTTTTCTGTGGTTTTGGCTGAACACGGTGCTCAGTTTGGCATCTAGATCTTGCTGATCGTAAACTGGTGTGTGACTGGAAACCCAACACTGACCATTTCAGTCCGAACAGAAAGCCCAATTAAAGCTGAACACACATAATCAGGTCCTTTGGATTAAATCCGTTCATCGTGTATGGACTTTTATGAAAGGGAAAAAAAGATAATTAGAAGATGCCCCTTTATTTAAATAAACTCTTCACTCCCAGAATGCAGTGAGGAGCAACAATTTGGACTCAAAGGCACAAAAAACACTAACTATCTGTTTGCAACAACTTGACATATTGGCAGTAAAGATAGCATCCAGATGTTAAGTAATACTCAGGCCTGCTGCTCTGTCATTAAGTGTCTGAAAACTGCCAGAATAGCTCGTTTCCCACTTTATTGGCAGCAATTTCCTGCGACAAAGCAAAGTGTTAAAGTGAAGGGAAATATATTAAAAAAAAACAGCAGATGTTTCTTATTAGACTGAGAATTCAGGCAGTTTTTGGGACTGAATGAACCAAACAATGAACAAACTGGTAAAAGTGACAGAGCAACAGTATACAGATGAATATCCAGCATTACGATGATGTCTGAGTTTTTCATCTGCTTCGAACAAAATAATTAAAATAATGGCAGCAGACTTCTGGAGTTTTAAAGAGGATAATGACTAAAGACCACAAGCTGTCTCTTTGGGTAAACGTTCAATGTTTTCAAGTTTGCTACAAAAGTCATGTTCTCAAGGAGAACAATGTTGTCTGAAGCAGATGGAGCATCTCAGCATAAGTCTCAGGGCAGTTTCACACATTGGTGTATGGATTTAAACATTCTCAACATTCTCAATAAAGCAATTGTAAAAAATAAACATTTAAACATTCAAAACTCAATTACACTCAAGTTGAGCCTGCAAATGATCAGTTTCCCTGTAATTATCAAATTGTAGCAAATGATTTTACTTAGTCTTACGAATAAAGAAAGGGTAAATTTATAATTTTATCTCCTAAAACAAAAACGTATTGCTATATCACAGAAACAGTGTAAAATGCAGGCAGTTTTCCATTGCAGCTTTGAATTTAAAAGCCTTTTTTTCAACAAAACATAATTAGATTTATTTTAATGTGCACATGCAATCTAATTTCTAATCCTCCATCACTGTTAGTTGGCCTTGGATCATAAGTCATTTTCAATAGGACTAAAAAACAGCAACAACAACAAACCTGTTGAATGCAGATACACCGGCACTGAGGGGACTCTAAACATGATTATAGTGTAAACCAGTGGTTCCCAAACGTTTTCTTCTGCGCCCCCCCAGCGGTTTCCAAACATTTTCTGCGCCCCCCCCTATGGATTACAAATGGCTGTCTGGTTGAAACGACGCATGTGACAGGGGGGCAAAATGAATGTACGTAGCTGAAAATAGACACCAACATCGGTAGCCTACTTGTTAAGCTTAAGGTTCTGTATTGATATTAGCTAGTCATCTTTTAGCTAACATTACCTGCATCCAACAGCTTTACTCAACTCAGTCGGTTAGTTTGGAGGGAAAAACTGTGAAAAGTTCTTTGCGTTTTGCTGGTTTGCTGCCATCATTCTAACACAAACCTACGTAGCTCCGCACAGCAGCAGCAGGTCTCCTTCACAGGTGTAAACCCAGCGCGAGTAGCGCTCATGTTGCGTTTAAAGGCGGCTCGGAAAAACAGGTTACAGCATGTTAACAACGGATAAAACAGTTTTAACTGCTGATAAAAGTGACAGAGGACACAAATATGGGAAGTGTGGAAGCCTCTACTGTATCAAATTGACATAGTTATAACAGAGTTGGCCATTCTAAGGTAAAAACCCAGCGCATACAGTGTTCATGTTTTTTTCTTTCATCCAGACGGCTTCCCGCGCCCCCCCTGCAATGACACGGCGCCCCCTCTAGGGGGCGCGCCCCACAGTTTGGGAACCTCTGGTGTAAACCAAGACGCACACATTCAGTTGATTATTCAAGACAATCAGCATCAGATTATTTTTTCGTACATTCACAGTGCAGGTGCAGCAGCTGTCATTGCCGCCTGCTGAACTGGTCGGTGCCTCTTTAGCGAGTCTTTTGGTTGAATCCCAAACTGTTCTCAATTTTCATGTCATCCATTGAGTACACATGTCATGTTACTAGTTAGGTTTTATTTAGGAAATCTTCATAATTATGTTGGTCTTCATGTTTGTCACCATGATCAAGGGAAGAATCATGGAGTTCCATTTGGCTCAACTAAAGAAAGAAAAACAGGATTCCTCCACAAAAAGCAACTGATGAGTTGCTCTACATTTGTTAGCATCATGCAGTAGCAGTATGATGCCGTTTTATGTCCCACTAAAAGGCATCTGTAACACTGTGGCATTGCTTTTGCGGATTGTGACCAACTGGAAGACAATATCCCGTTAAAAATAAACAGAAATCCTGCAAGGTGTTTAAATTATTTAAACTCAAACTGTTAGCTAAGCATAGGCTCATCTGATTCTCTGTGACCAAAAAAGAAAATATAGCAAAAAAAAAAAAAAAAAAAAGGAAACTAGATGCAGACTCTGTTTTCTTTCCAGTCATGATTCTATTGAGAAGGATGGTTTTAAAGGACCTGGAAGGATTATAAATACAAAATCCTAGAAGTACTCTTAAAGATGCAAACATTCATTGGTACCCATGGTAAAAGTGAGTAAAAATCCTTCAAATAAATTTATGTTTTCTTGTGGCAGCATAATTTCATATGGTTATGGGAACTAACAGTCTAATGGGACACTTTTTAATCTGACCTGACATTGACCTCACTCCTTTTCTCCAAGCACCCCAGGAACACACTCTGGGAACCTTGATACCAATGCTAATTTTTCAATACACTCCATCTCTTCATTAATTTGTTCCCATCTGTTATTAATGTAAAAGTGGATTTTCACTGAGTTTTTCAGCAGGATAATGATCCAAAACACATGGCCAGATGAACACAAAAACCCCTTTTTGCCTGGCTGCTCCAACTTAGCTAAATATGGGATATGACTAAGACATGTTCTTTAATCAAAAAGGATTTACACAAAATAGGCACAGCTGGGTTGATTTTGTTAAACTGAGTTATTTCTTGACTTGGATTTTTCCTTCCAAAGTGTGAATACATAATGTCTCAAATAAAAAAGTTGGACTTTTCTAAATTTTCCGACTGAGATCACACTGCTGCAAAGATTAATTTATTTCATGATTTTTACACATTCAAAGAAGAGGTGCCAATACATCTAACCATGTTTGCGTTTGGTTAATGAGCAAATCGATCATCTTCCCATTACCAAACATTTCCTCCTCATTAAAAAAGTGCTTTTAATTAAAAAAAAGAGGTTATCCCTTTGTAGTGTCTACAGAATCTGATACAAAAGTTTATGTTACAAAAAATTGGTGGTTGATTCCCATTCAGAGCAAAATGCATGGTGGTCAGTGGCATCAGTGACCAATGACAGGACAGTCAATAAAGGGATCCAAAAAGGCTGGTTGTTCAAAATGAACATCTTTGAAGCAGCATAAGTCTGTAAATACATCTTTGCTGCCCAGCAGGTTTGTTGTGTCAAGCCAGTTCACTTTCATGCTTGGTGACTGAAAATAGGCAAAACAGCAACCAGAAGGAAGCTGCTGAAGGCAAAGTGGCATCAGAAAAGAGAAAAAACTGCTATCTGATTACTGTCCAATTATTCCCATGTTTGAAAAAAAAAAAAAAACAAAAAAAAAAACATATGCAGCACACATCTGGCTAGGATTTGGTTGTTCAGAACCAGATCTTTCAGTCTTCATGCGAGTGTCAAAGGTAGAGCTTTATCTTGCCCTCCTTGTCGAGTCTGTGGATGACCTCTGTCTCGAAATCGGCGCTGTGAACACCAGTCTTCCTGAAGGCTCCAGCGTAGGGGTTCTCCTCCCAGTAGTGATGCCAGTTCCCCAGCTTATCAGCACCATAACCAAACACAGACACCTGAAAATGGACAAAGTGCATCATTACTATTCAACAACTGAGTGTCTGAGGAGCGCGTGCCTGCCGAGAAATAAATTGTCAAATCTTTTTCCAATAAATTCTATGAAATAATTTAGATTGGTGGCACATGGCAATTATAAATATCACTAAAATGTTCATTTATTTCAGTTAATTAAAACTTGACTATATTGATTCATTACATGGCAAACGGATACATCTCAGAAAATTTAAATAAGACTGAGAAAATACGGATTCTTAATTCAGAAATGTAGGTCTGCTGAGAAGTTTTTTTTAATAGCTCATTTGGCAAAAGCTATTGCTTCAGCGCAGCATGGCACTGAAAGGATCATTTGTGGCCCCTCAGCTCATCTGCATTGTTGGCAGGGTAAACAGTTTATGTTTTAAAATACAACATGGCCTTTACGTTTCTGCATTAAAACTTTTATATGTCT